TAAAAAACTGATCCATTGCTGAATTAAAATTTTGTTCCTGGGTTCATTATATAGAGAAATTATATGTAAAGGTTTCTTGAAATGTGCAATTTTTATTGAAATACACTTATATGTAAACGAATACGTATTTTGAAAATTTATTTCTTCATATATTATGTTGGATTTCAAAAGAATGGCACAACCGCCATATCCATCAGGGCGATCAGCTCGAACACAATTAAATTCTTTAAAATTATAATATTTTCCTGGTTTGAACCAGGTTTCAGATAATAGAGCTATAGTAATGTGGTTCTGATGAAGTAAGTATTCTAAATTCTCTTTATTAGCAACTGCTGAACGACAGTTCCACTGTAAAATATTTATTTTATTTAAGTCTGCGAATTTGATGTTAGATTTTGGTTAAAATGGTTACTAATTATCTGAATTACATCAGCTTTTGAAATATTAAAATTATTATTTTGTTTAATTGAATTAACAATTGTAAGAACCGATTCTAAAATGACATTTATTACAGAAGAATTTAATTCTTCTGACCGTGAATCTGCAATGTTTAAGTTTTTTTGGTAGAATTGACTTTTAACTATTCCCTCAGGATGTTTTGGAGGGGAAACTGTAGATATTATTTCTTTTCTAGCTATATCAGTTGGGTCTGAATTATTTGGTTTCTGCCTTTTATTTGGCCTACTGGTATTTGTGTGAGGATTAAATATAAATTTAGCAAAATTATTTCCCTGGGAGGAAGTAGAAGGTTGTGAATTTTGTGAAAAATTTGTATCATTGTTGACTGTATTGGTCCTAAGAATACTAGCATATGATTTTTTAGGCACTTGTTTATTTGCATCGTAAAAATTAATGTTTGTTAAACCCATCGTCTCTTTTATTAACTTTTGTCGTGAGAATTCTGGGCATGCGCTTAGATTTGTGGTCAAATGTTTCCCCTTACAACTAAAACATACGTGTTCGAAATCAACTTTTGTACAATCTTTTGAATTATGCGTTTCTTGGCATCTGTTACATCTTGGCTGACTCCTACATTGATTTCCCAAGTGGCCGTATCTAAGACAGTTAAAGCATAACAAAACTTTCTGTTTATATATTTCAACTTCTTTAATAACCTTATTGATTACTATATATTTTGGTAAATTTTGCGATTTAAAGGTCACAATACAAGACTTAGTAGGGACATATTCGACAATTTTTTCCTCATTAACATTTTTTTCTACTTTACGCGTAATTCTTTTAACATTTGCAATTTCAAATATGCAATGACTATCATACTGTTTAATTCTATTTTTAATATACTCTTCCGATAAATCTGCGTCTATATCCCTAATAACTCCTTGTCTGTGTAAAATAAATTTTGGAATATACAAATCTAAATTATTTAAACGAAATATTTCTAGAGTTTTGTTTTTAATGAGGTTATTAGCAGTTTTATAATCTTTGCATTTGACTCTAATTCTATTTCGGCCAATGGCGTCTATACTTGAAGTCATATTGTCTGCTTCAGGAAAGTTAGACAAAATAATTTCACCAATCTTTAGAGGATTTAATTTACCTTTAAACTCCATAGAGCTATTCTCGATATATACATGATATGGGCCTAGATCATTACTATTAAATAAAAATGCTTGTCTTACCTGTTTTGTTACTTTTTGTTGTGTTTCATTCAGAAGGGTTGTATTTGCATTATTCATCAAATTTATTGGTGTTGGAGTACTTACAGAAAGATCCATTTCGGCATCACTTTGATTATTGAATATGTTTCCAGATATACCTGGTTTTGAGGGTTTTTTGGGGTCAGGGGGTCTCCCCCCGCTATTGACACTCATACGGTAGGTGGTTCAATAAGCGATATTGTTGTTAGCCAACGCCACAAATTTCACAATTTAAAGCACAATATTAATTGTAAATTATTGCTCGTCTAATTTCTATGAAAACTACTACGGAACTGTATTTACTGATTAAATCTCAAAAAATTTGTAAGGAACTTCAAAAAGCGTCTTATAAGTTTCCAAAACAATGTCGTTATCACACATAGTTTCACAATATAATTTTTATTATTACCGCCTGCTTTGAACGATTACGAATTTGTTTTTTAATAAAAATAGCGATAAACCCTTATCACGAATTGGTACGGTTTAAGGAAGGTCATTTTTTCATTAAGACAGTATTTAAAAGTACGGAAGTTGATAATAATCTCAAAAACAATCTACACGATATCTAAAAACTCTATCGTCACAAAAATAACTGTAACAATTAAAAATAAAAATTGTGTACTTTACTGTGAATCTGAAAGACATCTGAAAAATTATTCTCGAGTGTTCATTTTTATCAGAACTTGTCTCTCTCATAGGAATTATAAGGCGGCAATGTTCTAAGAAAATATTTTAGAATCGTGCTAGAATTGTGTTTTTGCTGCACCACAAAGAAATGTCAACTTTGGAGTTAGGGTTGTAGGATTATTTTTTTCTTTGACTCATTTTCTCAAGTCTCAAATATGACGGCGTAAATTATTTACTTCATCATCATCAGTTGGCACTATAGCACTTATTGAGCCCTGATCTGCCTTAAGACATTCTTCCATTCTTCCTTGTCGAGAGTCTGTTTTCTCCATCCCCTTACTTCATTCCTCCGTAAATCGTCCTGCACATATTCCAGATACCTGAGTTAAGGTCGCCCCCTTGTTCTTCTTCCGACCGGTCTATTTAGCTTGGTTATTTTAGAAGGAATCACTTTTACCCATCCGCATAACGTGTCCTCTGGGACATGTTATGAGGGGCGAGCGTTATAACTTGTTGCAATTAATAATGCAAGGAAGAACAGGGGGTAGAAAGAGTCGCGGAAGAAGACGCATCTTCTGGTTGAATAATTTGAGAGCTTGGTTTAACTGCACTTCTGCTGACCTCTTTAGAGCAGCGGCGTCGAAGTGCGAAAAGATAACGTGGCCCACCCATCTTAGACGGTTAATTTTGATGGTTTTCACGATATCTGCATCACCAAAAAGTCTATAGAGTTCGAAATTATCGAAATTATATTGTAGATATAAGATTTGTAGTAACTCTTCATCTCTAGTCGTCATTGCTTATGTTTTTGATCCGTAAATGAGCACTGGGCGTATTATTGTTTGTATTTTTGCAGTCAACCAGTGACCCTATGTAGCAGAAACCAATCTTGGCTGCTTAGCACAAACTACAAAAAAAAAAAAAAACTACAGTAATCAAAAAACTTTTTCGAGATGCTGTGAACGAAACGAAAGCCAAACGAAGCTAAGTGTTATATGAAACGAAGTTCTAGCAGGAATGAATTGAGGATCAGGATTTTGCCGGGAATTTTTAGACTATAATTATCAAGTTGATTTTTGTTTGTTTTGCTTTGCATTTTGTTCTTCTAGATGTGCCTATCCGTTACGAATGTTGGTGATCATCATGGTAATCTTTATGTTATCTGCAGCAGCGCGTAAAAGCTGCACAGATGTTGTATTGAACCAAATTCTAAAGTTTTTTAACCAAGACATTCTTCTTCTTTCTGGACCTCGTTTTCCAAATATTTTTCCTTGTAGGATGGCTTGAAGGAGAGCGTATCTGGATTCATTTCGCATATGTCCAAAGAACGGTAACTTTCGAGATTTGATGGTGGTCAGTACCTCTCGGTTCTTATTCATTTTTCTGAAGACCTCCTCATTTGTGACTCGGTCAGTCCACGGAATCTTAAGCATTCTCCGATATAGCAACATCTCAAATACTTCCAGTTTTCTGCACATATCTTCGTTTAAGGTCCACGATTCACCACCATAAAAAAGGACAGAGAAGACGTGGCATCGCAGCATTCTTAATTATGTATCAAGAAAGAAGTTGTGACTCTTGAAGAGTCGCTTACTTTGCTCCTTCTGGTAAATTTAATGAATTTGGCTTTCTGAGCCTTTTCTTAAGCCCTACATGTAAACCAATTTATCCGCATGGTCCAGGATATGATGCCTGTCGTTGCTGAGTCTAGCTATCATTCCATCTAGGTCAGTTCATCAAAAGAAGAGATATGACTCCAACTGCGGAAGACCTCTGTGCTGGTATCGTGTCAGTAACGTTCTCAGCAACGTTGAGTATATTATTCGGCTTCTCAGTATGTACATAGTCAATCCATCACCTGCTTGTTTCGTTTTAAGCTTGTTTCGTTTACTTGTTGTGCAGTGTTGGCCTAAAACACGCATTTTTTAACTTCTTTCTGAGCCTTGTTTTTTCCGTATGAATTATTTTCGAATTCTTTTATTTTTCACAACATTTTCATTTACTTTTAAAATGTAGTCTGAATTTTCACTGTAACTCATTTTGTAAAAAGAACGAATATGCTGTAATCTCAATATTTCTATATTATCAATATTTCATTTCTTTGCTTGTACTAAAAAGGGTACATAGATCTATACAACTTTTTTACGTCTACCGCCTCAATTTTAACAGTCAAAACTAAATTGTCATTGAGTTTTTTAGGTTATATTTTGACAATAATAGAGTTTTCTATTTTCGGAAAAACTTAACGACAATTTTGTAACTTATTTAATATGGGTTAAAGATTTTTGCTCAAATTTAGAGAGCTCAAGACTAACAAAACTATCTGATTTGTTATTTTTTATTATATAATACAATTTGCTTTTAAGAACACGTATCCAAAAACTACAGATATTTATAAAATAGAAGATATTTAGAAAAGAAGAATCTGATAGTATTTTTAGTAACTTTTTTTTTTTGGTGTAAATTAAATATTGGAATAATAAAAATATTCTATTTATTATTTAAGTAAACTTTAGACGTAAGTATTCGATTTAAAGTATATAAAATCAAAATCTCATAAATTATGAACACAGCAAGCGTATTTGTATGTCATAATTTATGCCAAATATATTACGAATATCAGTGTCAATCAATTGAAACTATAATCTACTTATATCGTTTTACCCACAAGGTTTTATATTTACAAATAATTTATTATAGTTTTTTTAATTACAGTGCATAGGTCACAGATGCCTATCACCAAGGTGAAAACGAAGTCAAAGATTTCTATACAAGACCAACCAAAACGGGTACAGTTTGTTAGTAAGTACAATATTGTTATTTATTTTAAACTAGCATTTGGGTCCGTCCCAAGACGGAATCAATAAGTGAATTTAAATATTAACAAAACGAATTTTTCGAACAGAACCTATAACCATTTACTTTACAAAAGAATATAAAACTTTTTGACAATTTTATAAATACTTTACAGTAGTATTTCTACATGTACAGGTACATTTTCAATTCAAGTACATGGGAGAGAAATATCGTACGAACGATACTCTAATATTTCAATGCTTCTTTCAATTAAATTGCTTTCATAGATAGGTACAAACTTTATAGCCACAACTTTTACGCGAAGATCTGCTCTATGACGATCTGGGACGAAGGTGACGAACAGTAGTTGTCCATGCTTAAAGATCGGTCTTGGCGAATAAATTTTAAAGCCAGGACCGTCATAGGGAAGCGGTAATTCTTTAATAGGGAATTGACGATAACAAAGCTTGAATAGAACGGTTCTGTTTCTGATGGACACTAGTTTAGGTATAAATACGACTTCCCAAATAGCGTTTGTAGACAATAGTCATTTCTACAATAGTTTGTATAAATAAACAATAATAATTTAAATATTTGAATTTCCCATGTAACTAAATTAAATACCTATGATCAGCATGACAAGCTCCGAGCAAAAAGACAAAAGAGGAGATTTAATCGTTATGAATACAATACCAAAATTCATAAAAGTGGCCTTTTAATATGGCGGACATATCCGGAAATGCAAAGGCGCCAAATTTGACAGACAGTTTGGACAAGCAATAACATAACCCAACTAAATTTACGCTAGTTATTCTCTTTTTTATCTTCTCAAATAGAATAAAGTAAATAGTTCATACCTTCTTCTTCTTGTAGTGCCTATCCGTTTCGGATATGGGGACCACCATGGCAATCTGTATTTTGCAAACTGCGGCTCATCAAAAATTTGTGGTTGTTATGTTGTAGTACGTACTTAGATTTTGCAGGCAGGAAATTCTTCGCCTTCTTGGTACTCTTTTCCTTGAAGAATTAATTGCAGCAATCCATATCTTTCGAAGTTCCTCATGATGTGACCGAGGAAATGAGAATGTTTAGATGAGTGCAAAAAATTTTTTATTCCCACAGGTTAATCATGAAGCTGCAAAATTAAATGCCTCCATCCTAAGAATTTTAAGGTTCACTAGTATGGTTTTTAAAATAGGTCTCTAATAAAAAAATATGTTTCAAGTTGGAAAAATTCATAACGCAGTTAAGAAAATATAAGGACTAGACAAAGAGACTTAAAAATATTTACAATGCAGTACAAAATATTCAAGAAGCGATGTACTCACGGATCATATCGTACTTTTTGCAAAATTATGTATAAAATTGAAGAAAAGAAACAGAAAAAGGACAAAAATTTAATAATAAACAAGTTAAAAAAAAAATTTAAGAAATAACTTTGACAGAGCTAGTATATGAAAACTAAAATAAAAGAAAAAATATATTTTAGAACACTATCACTAATGGTCTAAAGAAAAACCGACCAAATAAAAAACAAGTTTATAGCTATTTAGATCTTAGATCTTAGGAAGAAAAGAAGACAATATATTTGTATTAATAAAATTGAGGAATACAAAAAAATAAACAGTGAAATAAGAAGAAAACTACAAAGAGCGAAAACAGAATGATTTTTTTAAGAATATAAGAAAATAGATTAACAATAAAACACTGAAAACTTTGTTTTCAAACTTCCACAAAATTTATTTTAAATCTTATCACTACAGCTATTTCGGCTAATTGCCTTTCTCAAGTGATCTATTTTTGGCTTGAGTTTACAAATTTATAGTCTCTAATGAAATAGGTTGAGGAGGGGAGAACTGTTTGTCTCAAGTTGGTCATTCAGAATTATATCTGTGTTTTTTAATTTGTTGATTCCCATAGATTCTAACAAAGATAGCTTAAGGCCTTTATTTTGAATGTGAAGAATTTTACATTTGTCATTAAAAGAATGATTATAATCTAGAAGGTGAAGTGCGTATGTCGAATCTGTTTTTCTATTTTTGAAAGCCCTTTTATGTTCTGCTATTCGTTTATCAAAGTTTCTACCAGTTTCACCGATGTAAGTTTTTGGGCAGTCGCCACATTGAAGTTTGTACACACCACTATTTAAGTGTTGTTATTTGTTCGAAAAGCTGGTGTTATTCCTTTCTTTTTTATGTGTTTAGCAATTTTTGTTGTTATTTTGCCTGTATATGTAATCGAGCAGAAGGTACTGGGTTTTTTCTCTGGTGGTGGAAATACTAATTTCAGGGCTTTCTTGTGTAGTTTTTGATTTAACATTTTATTAATTGTTTGTTCGTTGTATCCGTTGTTTACTGCTATTTGCTTAATTATATTAAATTCTGTCTCAAAGTTGTATTTTGACATCGGAATTTCTGTTAATCTATGTAACATACTATGATAAGCTGCCAGTTTATGTTGTGTTGGATGGGATGATGAATTGTGTATAGTCGTGTCAGTATGGGTAGGTTTATGAAATATGGAGAAGTCATGTTTGTTTTGAAGTCTGCTAATTTTTAAATCTAAAAAATTTATGGATTGATTTTGTTCTGTTTCTATTGTAAATTCAATATGACTACGAAGTGAATTAATATAAGATAAAAATTGGTCGAGTTGCCTGTTAGTTCCTGTGAAACATACCAGTACGTCGTCTACGTATCTCCACCAATATAAAAACTGTTTGAATACGGGATGTTTTGAAATATTTGTCTCTAGATGATCCATAAAAATATCTGATAGCAATGGGCTTAGCAGCGACGCACAAGCACTTTTAGGAGTCCGTGTATGGAGAAGAGCAGCCACAGACAGACAAGGGTGGAGGCAAAAAATAAAGGAGGCCAAGGCTCATTTTGGGCTGTAGTGCCGTAGAAGAAGAAGAATGGGCTTAGAGGATTACCCATTATAAGTCCTGCACTGTTATTAGTATATATTTAATTATTAAATTCAAAGTAGTCCTGGTTTATGCAAACTTCAAGAAGATGTAAAATTTCAGATGTAATTATTGGATTTGTACTATTTTGGTCTAAATAAAACCATAATAAAAAGTTCATAAACCTACCCATACTGACACGACTATACACAATTCATCATTCCATCCAACACAACATAAACTGGCAGCTTATCATAGTATGTTACATAGATTAACAGAAATTCCGATGTCAAAATACAACTTTGAGACAGAATTTAATATAATTAAGCAAATAGCAGTAAACAACAGATACAACGAACAAACAATTAATAAAATGTTAAATCAAAAACTACACAAGAAAGCCCTGAAATTAGTATTTCCACCACCAGAGAAAAAACTCGGTACCTTCTGCTCGATTACATATACAGGCAAAATAACAACAAAAATTGCCAAACACATAAAAAAGAAAGGAATAACACGAGCTTTCCGAACAAATAACAACCTAGGCAAATATATTAAAAATAACAAGAGCAAAAATTAAAAACACTTAAATAGTGGTGTGTAAAAACTTCAATGTGTCGACTGCTCAAAAACTTAGATCGGTCAAACTGGTAGAAACTTTGATACACGAATAGCAGAACATAAAAGGGCTTTCAAAAATAGAAAAACAGATTCGACATACGCACTTCACCTTCTAGATCATTATTATTCTTTTAATGACAAATTTAAAATTCTTCACATTCAAAATAAAGGCCTTAAGCTATCTTTGTTAGAATCTATGGAAATCAACAAATTAAAAAACACAGATATAATTCTGAATGACCAACTTGAGACAAACAGTTCTCCCCTCCTCCACCTATTTCATTAGAGACTATAAATTTGTAAACTCAAGCCAAAAATAGATCACTTGAGAAAGTCAATTAGCCGAAACAGCTGTAGTGATAAGATTTAAAATAAATTTTGTGGAAGTTTGAAAACAAAGTGTTCAGTGTTTTATTGTTACATAAAATGAATTTCCATCAAGTAACGGTCGAATCCATCAATTATTTAAAATAGATTAACGTGATCAGTATCACGCCACGTCAGTTTAAAGAGAAACGAGGGGCCTACACGAAGTACAAAATATCAAATACTCCAGAATCCAGTTTATAAAAAGGATGGAAAGCGACTTCTACGGTACACAAACACAAATATGAAGATTCATAAGAAATTAACGGAAAGAAATAGCAGAATTCAAGGAATACAATAACATATCAGCAAACGAATGGGAAAGATACCTGACGGAACTGTTTAAAGGAAAGAAAAATACCTTTCAGGAAGTAGAAATAGCCATAAATTCACTCAAAAATTAAAAGTCGCCAGGACCAGACGGAATAACCAACGAGCTTCTAAAACACGGAGGATAATGTATAACCCATGAGATGACAAAACTTATACAAAAACTAATATTGCACTGCAAGATACCAGACGCATGGAGAAACAGCATAATAATACCAATGTTCAAGAAAGGAGATAAAGAAGACCCCAACATTTATTTATTTAGCGTATGGCTCAATACATGGAGTAAATACAGTAATAATTGAAAAAACGTAAGTACATAATTCAAAAATACAAACATAAGATTATAGAAACGAACATAGACAAAATACAGATAAAATATAAGATAATACAAACAGATAAGGTTATATCATTAAGTCAAGTTGAGCTATCCATTCAAGGCTTGCAGGCGTAGTTTTGAAAAAGTCTTTTGGGTCCCCTCGATATGCCCTCAATTCACATGTCTCCACTATGTGTTGGATGGTTTGATCTGGAGCTCCACAGTCGCAGCTGGAGGTAGGTTGTTTTTCCCATTTATGTAGGTTGTGTGCGCATACTGCATGTCCCGTTCTAATTCGGTTTAGGCTCTTCCATATGTTTCGTGGCTGGTCGAAGCTGTAACGTTTCAACGAACATTCGTAAGAACATAAGAAAGAAAGCAGGCAATGTAGCAGTTATAACGCTACAAAGTCATCAGGCTTTTGGACTGGGTCAATAAGGTTGGATACTTCAGGTGGGGCTT